CCTTGCAAGACCCATCACTCCAGCTCATGTATGGCTCCAGTTCCACTATCATATCTGAATGTTGTTGTAGTAAGTGGCGGCCATCAATGTTAGCAACGAGTTAATATCCTCACCAACCATACTGATCCTTACTCTTCTTCACCTTCTCGACAGGTGTGAGCAGTGGCATCCTCCCTCTTGACTCTTTTGCCCTCTGTTTGTATTCCTCTCTGTTCTCCTTACTCCTCAACATGTTCAGGAGTGCCAGTTCAGGACTTATCATGTCTGTTGTTTGAATTAGTCCATGTAAGTATATATTCTTTGATCAACACCTGTTGCTGTCCAGTCTCTTGCTGATATATACCTTCCTCGTTTACACTAGCTGCCTCCAGAGACAGTCTTTTTCTCTCGGCCAGCCTCTCATCCAATTCTTTGATCCTGCGACAACCTTTAAATTGATGATGTTCCGCAGATGAGCAGGTAAGTTGTGCTTGCTCAAAATGGTTCCACAGCCTATGTGAGTTCACTCTACAGGATCACGGATACTGCTGCTACTGTTATTGTTGTTGSTGTTGCTGTTGCTGTTGTTGTTGTTGTTGATTGAGCAATCACTAACTACAAATCGCTCTTGCATYGGTGCCCTCAACAAGTYGACAGCTGGTTTCTCAAACTCTTCCATTAGCATATCATCAGTGCCCTCAGACAAGTCAATGACTGCAGCCTCCAGTAGGGCATTAATGGCAGATGAGCCGTTGTGCCCTCATCAGTTGGTCTGGTTGTACTACTACTACTACTACTACTACTACTGTTGGTAGGGTACACCACTCGACACGTTGGTTGGCTGGTAGGTTTGCTCGATGGAAGATATACAACACGACTAACAGGTTGGCTCGCAGATCGATTAGTGAATCCACTACTAGTCACTGACTGACTGACAGGTTGGCTCGCGGATCGATTAGTGTATCCACTGCTGCTCCTGCTGCTGCTGCTCCTGCTGGGTACTGAATGACTGATTGGTTGGCTCGATGATCCACCCCTGCGATCATTACCAAGCGAGTGTGTGCTGCCACCATTGTCACTGCTACTACTACTGTTGATTGTTACGCCGTGCCACTTCTTTAACTCCTTCATCATTCCACGTTTGTTATCAAGTTTAAAATGATGTTCCATGTCTTGGAGTTGGCATCTTAATCATCTTAGGATATAACATAGTATTAACTTTATATATAAATTTTAAATGTATGTATATGTATATATGTATATGTGTATGTAAGTATGTATATGTATGTAAGTATGTTAGTTATTTTATCGAATAAACATCTTTCTTGTGCTTGTTCTTCACAATGGAGAATGAGTACTATGGTGGGGTCAGTAATACTAGAGGCATGATGGACAAAGACATCAATCTGAAACTGTGTGTGGACTTTGAGATTAATGTCAACAGCGATGATCCTACCTAAATATATACAGTCACGCATAGTGGAGTGCACTTTCAAGAGTGCCAACAACCCAGACGACCAAACGTGGACCCATTCCAAGCGACTTGCTCTTGTTTGCTGGGCCTTTCACTCGTTTGTCAAGTCACTCAACAACGATGTGTCCGACCTAGCCCTGCTTGCACATGCCCGAAAGTCTGCTGACCAACAACGATACTCAATCATCTCTGGCCGTATCAAGAGTCTCAGCTTTGACTATTCATGTAGCAGCGGTTGGCGTGCAAAGAGTGAGAGTCCATCGACAAAGGAGTCATTGCACCAGCTCCTATCGACGCTGACCACCGTGGCTGGATCATTGGAGGAGATACACCAACTGAAAAAACACTTTGGAGTTGGGAAGACAGTGACCAGCATCACCTCTGAGAGATCCACCCGCATAACTTGGAGGGGCCATGGTGTGGCGAGCATTGGCACTGAGCACTTTCCAGCACTCCAATCTCTGACATTCCTTCCTCCCAAAAACGAAGACCTGGACCAGCTTGCCCTCTACCAACAGGTGATGTCAAGTCAGTTCTCAACAATCACATCACTTCAACTGCGCTTCATTCCACCAACGGCTGTTGGCGCATTCGACACGCTCCATCAGTTGGTCAACCTCAAGAAGCTGAGGATCGAGCGATGGTGCGATTGCTTCTCACCGATTCTCTCGTACCTTGGTCGTCCGTCAACACAGCTACGATCACTCTTCATAGAGTTCTTTAGCGAGGATGATGACGAGCCATCGGTCAGCCCAGCAGCCTTGTCACTGTTGGAGTTCCTCTTCACCAACAAATCTTGCACAGTGACCAAACTTGGTGAGATTGACCCCTGCACACTGCTTGCCCTGCGCAGACCGCTCAAGTCACTCCGTCTCAGAGACACGTTGCCGTCTTGTAAGCAGCAACAGCCACAACTCACAACTCGCTTGACATCGTTCCAAGACAATCTTATGATACTCAAGGGCAATGTGGAGTGTGTCTCCATTCAGGTTTATGGTGGTTATATCTCAAGGGCAATATTGGACATGCTCTCACTTCAATCGGTTCCAATCAAGAGGCTGACTCTTTGGCTTCTTTGGGAAGACAAGCTCAGTGATTATCATTTCGATGAGTTCCTTCAAGCGATGAAGCAGAGTTACATCAAATACTTCGTCTTCCAGGCTTGGCCATTGGCAGACGACTCTCAAATCCCAGCGTTGGCCCGTGTCATCAACAGCCATCATTCCATCCTCAACAAGACCATGTTTCCACTTTATTGACCAAATAACACCAACTCCACACGATGCCAGACACTAAAACGAGGATAATAAAGAAGCCTATGAGCAATGTTTGTTGGACAACTCCAACATCCGATGATCATGTTCGAAATAATACTTGCAGCCTTGAATGGACCACAGTATGCTGAAGCTTGCTAATTCAAATTTTCCTATACACGTGAGATGTGAGCAGAGTACCCTATTGGGTAGGTCGGGTAACGGGTAGGTAATTAAAAGGGTAACCTTTTTTTTTGCCAAAGGTGAGCAATCAGGTGGCCACCTCATTGGTGGTACCAGGTCAAGTTGTCCTCAACCAACAATAGACGACATCCGAGTCGTAACAAGTGTGTTTTGAATAAATGAATAGTTGTTTTGTTTATTGATAGTTTAATTCAAAGATTGAGATTGGTTGATTGAATGATTGTATGATTGAATGATTGGATGGTTGATATCAATGACCAACATATCGGATGGACAATAACACCCATTGTTGTTTTATCGACAGGTGATTCAATATATATATGGCATACGGCTACATCACTCTATGACAGTGTGTGGTTGGGATGGTGAGTGGAGTGTGGCCCAGTCACTCAGTCAGGTGTGATGGCTTTCACTCGTACATCAAGGCGACATTGTGCTTGTTAACGCCTTCGACCGCTCCAAGCCTGTTGGCGACGCTGTAGACCTCGCCGTAGCAAGCAATTCCAAATGTTTGATTATGGTCCACTTGGTAATTATGATCATTACAAACAGTATGTATATCAATCACTCAGTGATGGTACCATCTCAATTACACTGACTAACATTCAATCAATCATATCAATCAATGAATGAATCATAGGTTGAAGCAATTCAACATGTTCTATCAGAAACTGATTGTGAATATATTATGAAGTGTCATCATTGTGTCTGCTGACATTGTGTCAGAGCAGAGGAGTGGACAATATTGATGGGAGTCACTGTCGCACTAGAGGTTCTTCTACCTTCGATTAATCATGAATAATGCGACACTCATGCCAAAAAAACGTTGCATCGGTTGATGAGCGTTTTTTTAAGTACTCCAGAACAGATTGAGCGAAAGAAGCTTACAGATAAGAATCGATTAATGATCATATGTTAAAGTTATCCAACTACGATGATCTTATTAAAGAGAATGCTAGACTTAAGAAACAACTCAATGCTTGGGAGTCTCATATATCAATAATTTCATTAATGTTGATGATGAACTAGCAGTACACAATCATTGTGGGGATATCGAGAGTCCACATGTGCCCAATGCGACGGGCACTACTGATAGCGATGCAACAACCAGGACCAATCAAAACAACAATTCCCATGATCATTTTAATGATAGCCAACTCCTTCAATTAATTGGATTACAGTCATGTTCAATCATCTTCTTAGTAGAGGCCAAGACAAAAGTTGTGCAGTTGGCGACTGTTTGTGTTTGGGTGGTGAGAAATACATAAGTGTAATAATAATATTGTAGTTGTTTGATGTTCAACAATGAATCACTTGTATCTTGGATGGTAGTGATTGTTGAGGGAAAACTACACAAAATTGGTCATCATGTTTATTCAGCTGAAAAAAAAAGAAAAAAAATATAAAAAATGGATATTTTAGAAATATATCGAATCTTTGCAGACTGACGATCAGACACTCAATCATTCATTCTTTGGAAGAAGCGACATCGTAATGAGGATTGATTGGTTGACTGATTGAATGAAACCCAATCGCTCAAAAAATTAATAAAATAATGTGTGCCTATTTATGTCGCCACGCACTTTAGAGATAATTAGAGTGAGAGATTGAAGGACAGATTACTGTTGTTTGAATCAAAATTAGTTCACAGATTAGGAGCACGGTGTTTATAATTATTATTACTATTGCCAATTAGAGTTAAAGTTAAGTGCTTGGTACGATGAGTCGGTGCTGAATTGCCATTGATTGGACCAGAATCCTGCTGCTACGATGCCTCCGGCACCCTTGTATCCCCACTCACTGCCAACAACCATGTAGTCTGGAACGACCACTCCACTGCGTTGCGGAATTGTCTTAATCGCCTTGACGAATCCTGTCATACTGTTGCCACTGACCACCAACAGTAGACCAGTGCCACACTGATTGGGTGCCAACGTTGCCACACCCTGGTCTGGATCGGCATACTCGGCAGGACCCACAGAGAATGATGTGTCACTGTTGTACTGCACTGGAATCTGGGATGAGAACTTGTTGGTGATGGCATTCTGCGAGGGACCTCCCAGGAGGATGAAGCTGTTGTCCATCGGTGATGAGCAGTTGGTGGACGGAACGAATTGGGAGTCTGTGATGATCTGTGCCGAGCCTCGTCCATACGTGTTCCAGAAGCTGGTGATAAAGACCGCTGCCCAGTTGAGTATCAATTGGTCCTCGGCCGTAACGTTAGTGCCCACGACGATCGTGAACTGCTTCTCAAAGATCTGTCTCATTGGGCCGTAGGTTGGAGCTGAACGCTCGGTCTGTGGCCAAGTGATGTCGTCCGTGATGTTCCAGTAGACACCGTACTTGTCCGGTGCCAGGAAGTGGCTGGGGAGATAGGCAGCATCAAACATTTGACCGTCCACCATGATCTGAGTGGGCATGACGTCACGCAATGGTGTGCTAGAGAGTCCGAAACGACGAACGTTCTGAGTGGCTACAATCCAGAGCATGCCACCCGAAGACTGTGGTACTTGTGTCAGCTGAATCCTACCGACACGGAATGGAGTGGTTAGTTGCATGATCACGAGGTTGGCTCTCTGTCCACTCGACGAAGGGTTGTTGGAGGTGATCGTGATGGTCTTGGGGATGGGTGGATGGGTGAGGCTGGCGCCGCCAATGATTGAGTTATAGAACTGTTGCATGTAGTTGTCACCAAGGATACCGTCGAACCAATGACCTTCGTTGGGCACCTCACTGATAATGATTGACGATGCGTTTCCGTTGGCCTCGGCAGTCATTCTCGCCATACGTCTTGAGTGCCATGGGTTGACGTTGGTGTCGTTCTGTCCATAGCGTGCCATCAATGGCAAGCCGGCCAAATTGGTTGTGTACATGTCATTGTCGTTCTCTGCGATCGACGCCATTAGAATACCTTGCAGCACTGGGTCGACGTAGGAGTAGCCTGGCTTGGTGTTCATAAACACGTAGAATTGGAGCTTGACAAAACCGGCAGCGCATGCGCCACCCATTGCCAGGTCACCAAAATGAGAGAGCAACGACCAACAACCATGACCACCCATGCTATGTCCAACAAAGAGAATCTTGGTGGGGTCGACGAGGTACTCATCTTTGCTGTGTGCAGGGATACCTGGTAGATGTTGAGCAAGGTAGTTGATTGCAGAAAAGACGTTGAGGCGACTGGCCGACTCCCAGTCATAGCCCCATGAACGACGTCCAGTTGGGTAGACGATGAAGAGATTGGTCTGGCGGGGCAGAGCGTCCATCCAGAACTGTGAGCTTGCCTCCACACCGGCACCGTGCGTAGCCAGCATCACACCGCACATCTGGCCATTGCAGTTGCTTGGTGGGTTGGTGACAGCGTACTGTACAGTGTTGTCATAGTCAACGAAGGTGTAGAGATATGGGTTTGGGAAGGTGGTGCAGTTGAATGTGACCGAGGTGGAGCCAATGATGTTGTTGCCACTGAGCACATCGACGTTGGCAGTCAGTGGACACTGCTCGACAGGGATCAAACTCTCCACAGAGATCGCCACTGGAATGGCAACCTTTTGGCTTGGATAGGCCTGGAGTGATGGTAGCACCTGTGTGGTGGTGGCCGTGGCCTGAAGGTGTGTTGGCAGGCGGACTATGGCTGTCAAGTCAGTGAGCACGGTGGAGCCCGTGTTGATCACAGTGACAGTGGCGTATGGACTGGCCAGATTGCCATCAACAATGTCTGGCATGAGTGAGTCGCCAGTGATGAAGCTGATCGAAGGCTGCACTGCCTGCAGACTGCAACTGAATGATCCCAATGGTGATTGGTTCAGACGCACGGAGCTGAACATTCTCACGACAAACTGGTAGGTACCTGCGCGTGGCAGAGTAAATGTCTGTGCACCAGTGCCATATCCATAGTAGTCACCGACAAACTCCAGTATCACTCCGGTGACCGTGTCACGAATGAAGTAATCTCTGGCGCCCGAGCAGCTGACCATGTAGGTGCCCTGCGCCGACACCTGCATCTCTCCGATGGCATAACCATACCACAGCCAAATGTTCCATCCCCATACAGATTGTAAGAAGTCCCAAGAGATGGTCTGTGACCAATCCAAAGACACGACGCCAGCAGTGGTGGCCTGGTATGTGATCCAACCAACACGACCATTGTTGCCAAGCTCTGATGGATACAGTGTCGAGTCACCTATTGGTATGTTCCAAATTCCACCATATGCCTCAAGCGTGTCGTAGCATTCCTCACGCTCACCAATTGCGAATGGTCCAATGATATTGAACTGTGTGGGCAGTGATGTATCAAACTGCACCTTTGTTGTTGTAGTGGCTATATAAAAGTATGTTAGTTTGATTGATTTGGATAATGTCCATATATATAGTGCGTATTACCTTGTTGTTTGTTTGTTGCCGATATGATACTTGACAATGTCAGTACCAGTAATGATAGGGATATCAATGTTAATGATCCCATATTATTACAGTATGTTGGTTGATTATGTTGCTGCTCTTCAACCTTTCTCCTTCTGCTGTTATCTATAGAGTCTATGTTTGTTGGTAAATGAAAGGAATAAATAATATAGGTCGGGTACAGTTACTCTGTTAAGTTCACAAGAGCATTGCGATGAACACTCATCGATGTTTTTATTGTTCTTCTTCCAACAAACACACCACACGTGCATGGGACCATGCTGCAAACGGAAACACCCTGTTTTTGATTGTCGGGATTGGTATTGGGTCTTGCGGCTGTGTTGGTGCCAAAGCAAGGTTCGTTTGACACTATTGTGTTATGAGCTAGTATGACTCCTTGTTGTTGCGTAACATCATCTATTATTGAGTATGACAGATTAACGGTCAATCAATAAAATACATTCAATCAATCATGTTTGATTCTAGTATGATTTATTGATTTCAAACCATATTGGTCATCCACCTACCTTGAAGACGCCAACCAGTGGTTGCAATCATCAGGTCATGGCCATGGTCAGGTCGTGATCGTCGTGTTAATGGTCGTGTTCATGATGGTCGCTACCGTGCACAGGGTCGACTGCCACCACTGCCATAACTGCCATAACCGCCACAACTGCTACAATCACGACCATGTACAGCATGATCAATTGCCAGTCTGATGGTATTGGTGGGTTACCATCTAGTATGTCGAGGAAACTATGTCACTGTTGATGATGGAGTGAATGATGATGGCCCATTGTCTGTTGTAGTGTTGCAACTGTCGTAGGCATTCTATATCATTCATATTGTTGAACCCAACTGGGTTAATTCAGGTTTGACTGACTCGCCCGGATAAGCTATCACCAGTTGGTGGGAGTGAATTGAAAACTGGTAGGAGAAGCCTTTTATGCTGTTGCCAACCTCCGATTGGATGCTGTGGCTCTTCCAAATCATTGACATGATGTTTGAATCGGAGCAGGAACTTGTAGTGCTGGTTGTTGTCACCGACAAACCTGGGTTGCTTATCTCTTGCACGTCTGATGCGAAGCACTTGTAGTTGGGGCGATGTTGTTATCTTGTGCATATAGAATGCCAACGTATCCTGGGGAGTGATTGGAAGTTGGAGAGTAATCGAATCGAGTGTTGTTTGTTTGAGGATGCCTTCCCTTTTCAATGCCCCATGCTACAATCTTGATCGAGTCTTTTATAAGTGCCACAACCTGATCCACTGTCACATGGGGGTTGTCCAATTCCACAATCAGTCGATGCAGTCTCGGCATCCCCAGAAAGGGATCCACCGGCTCAATGCTGGCCTCACCGAGATACAGGCTGGTGACCAAGTTCGAGTGCATAACATATGGATTCTCTAATACAGTAATGTGATAACTGCTGATGTTTGGATTCAGGCACTGTTCGTCGTCATCTTCGATGCTCCAGTGGATAGAGAGATGGATAACGTCTGGAAGGTTTGCCACAGCATCTCGAGTACATCGGTCATATTGAAGCTTGTTGAGTGATTGGGGAATGGTGGTTGGAATCGGATGCCTGAAGTAAATCATATTATCTTCGAAGTCCTGCTGGAACCTGAGACTGGTCAGCGAGGGGAGCATCACGAGGTTGTTAACGTCCACTGGGCCCTGGACAGTAAGCTTGGTGATTCTTTCAAAGAACTGGAGCAGCTGCTCGTTTCCACTGTTTCGATGACGATCACACAACCAGTCAAAGAAGTGGCCCCTGATCACCAAGTTACGAGGAGACTTGATGACACAGTGAGGATTGATGAGGTGTCCATAGTCATCGTCCGCATCAATGTTGATATACGATCGTTTATGAAAGGTACCCGGTACAAAAGCTTGTGGGAGGGTTGGACTTTGAAGTGTTGGTGGTTGTAGTGGTTGTAGAGGCGTCGATGGCTTGACCGGAATGAGAGTGTTCTTTCTGAATGATATCTATGTGAACATCTCTGTGGAGACGAATGTGAACATATCCTTTGATACCAGAGCAAGCGAGAGATTCCAAGCATGACTATAGACATGATCTTGTTGCAACAGATGTGATCTCCAGGCAATCGCTGCTATTCGATGTGTGATCAGTTGAGGCAATGACCGTCCATCTTTATCATTGTACATCTTTATCTTCGGATATCGGACCCTAGTTATCCTTTGAAACATCTAGATGACTCAATTATTTTTCATCAGATCGACAATGATCATGATCCCAACTTGGGAAACCAAATTTCCAGGTAATTCTGTCTTCAATCTGTACTATCCTAGCACTTGTTTATTGCCTATTCTGGCGCTCCACAAGATGCAATGTCATACCAATCGATTCCAATTGGGTGTGACATATACACGTGAGATGTGAGGCCCTTGGATGCAGCGGATCACCTCTTTGGCACAAGCAAGGTTGTCTCATAGAGGTTCAATGATGAGATAATAATTGGAAGTGAGAGAATCTGGGGCTGTTCTTCAAGACACCAAAGCCCAAATGGACCACCATGTCATAGACTCGACTCGCTGGAGTGTCACCACATGAGTGAAGTAGATGGTGTTATAGAGATTATAACCCTGCAGTGGTGCATAAGGGATTCGAGCATGGAAGACGAGTCGCTTGAGCGGCCGTGTGATGGGGAACCACAGAGGGAAGGCAGGACCGCAGGATGAACTGTATCAATTTGTATGCCTCTCTGATGGTGCTGTGTATGGTTCGAGTACATGTCGTAGAGTGACCTCAAGCATCGATTACCAACTGCAAACTGAGAGTGATGATCGCAGAGTTCGATGAAAGTGCACTCTGGAAAGACCTCTTTGAGAATCTGGACGAGTGACTGTTGCTTTTGGAGCTGTTTGGTGCGATGGGGATGCAGTTGGAATCGAACGAAGACTAAAGGGAGATCAAACCGAGTATGTTCATTACTTTATTGTGTTGTTTGGATCGTTCATGACACTAGCCAACAGAGTAGGGAGATGATGTGCCGATAGTGATAGGAATAATGGTGTCAATCCAAAGCTGTACAATGACTCCTTGTGATAGAATAGTATGAATTCAATATTGTAGCTAGAATCATCTATTAGTTCCTTGACTTGTTGTTGTTCGCTTAGTGTATCATTGAGTAGCTTTAAAGACTGAGTATCTGTATCATAATATGGTAGAGCAATGAATGGACTTGGATTGCTCTGTGATCGTTTGTGTGCCATAGTCTCTGATAGTTTGGTTTGTTTCCAGAAGAATCTAAACTCGCTATTACAATCGCACAGTACATTGCCTTTCCAACAGAGTATGTCCAGCACGTAGTAGACTGACTTTATCGGTTCAAACAGACAGTCCAACACACAGAATCGATTGTTGATGTTGCCACATGACTCTCGACTGGCTGTAGAGCCAAAGGGCAGCGTGGATGAGAATGAAGCTATGATAGTGCCATCTGGAGATCGTGCCACCGTCTTGTCACGCTGTGAAACGACAAGACATCGCTTGCCCTGTGGTGCTGGCACCGCGAACCAATCCACATCAATTCTCTCCGGTACATCCTTCATTGGTTCGGCCAACATCAAATGATTAGAGTACATAGATAGTTCTTGTTGTTTCTTCTTCTGTTGTCTCTTTAGTTTACTATCAATGTTCTTCTGTGTCTTTCTAATCTTTTCTTGTTCAACAGTTGTTGTTGTTGTTGTCGTCATTGATATATCATCATTATCAATGTCTCTTGTTGATGTTGTTGACTCCACACCCTTCTGGTCAGACATTGATTGATCAGAATCATCATAATCTTCATCATTATGTTCGACTTTGTCATCATTATCAGTTGTTGATGCTAGTGTACGTAGTTGTTTGAGTAAATCTCTTCTCTTTGTCTTTTGTCTGTCCAGGTAGTACTCTCTCCTTTTCTGTGATTCAGGAGTGGCAATGGTTGCCTTGAAAGTGGACAGTCGATGACTGAACTCATGTTCATCCCTAGCCACACTTGTGGCACCAAGCAGTGCCGCTAACAATGTTTGTTGGTCATCTCCTCCTCCTTTAGTCTCTGTCTTTTCTGTCGTAGTTATATTATTATTGTTGTTGCCATTCATCATTCTCATTCAACAATGAACACACTAATTTTCAAACATCATTAGCATACTTGGCTCTTGAGTTCATTGTTGTAATTTGCACAATGATAATATAATTCCCTTCCAGTTTACTATATCTCTTTATTATAAATCAATCTCACAAGATTAGTTCATTCTTCACCCAAACACAAATATGATGACATGTGTCAAAGTTGTTATCTCTATCTATTACTCACAGATCCACAACTAGAGTTTATTAATAGCACTGAAATGATGTTCTGAACTCACCCAGGTGTTAAGTTGACATGCATTCATCAGCACACCCCCTCCTTTATCTCTTGTTGTTGCACGTTGTGTGGTTATCACATCAAACACAATCACTCGCTATTGTACTGACACCCTAAGCTGTGATGTTTGTTATTTCAATGTAACATATATATTCCAACCAATGGTCGGACCCCAATCACACTTGTTGTTGTTAACATACAGGCTTATTGGAATCACATAACTTCATCGTCAGCAGGTTGGATCAGACAGAAAGTCAGACAGACATAGACATTCAGGTGTGATCAAAATATTGAAGGGTCGATGTCTAACCAATCCAATCAACCGATGATACGATATACGATGCGTGTCATTCTCATCGGCATTAACTTAATTGGRAACAGGATGAACGGATTCAAGTCGATCACTTCTATCTATTATCTATCAATTCTCTTCACACTCCTCTCACTTTTATATATATATGCTACACACGTATTACGTTGTACAGTAGTAAGCAACTGCTTAACAGCCATAAGTCAGTGTCCCCGAAGGTATTTCCAGAGCTCTTCTTACGTTGGTATTGGCATCGATACTATTTTGTACCATACCTCACTTTGTTGCCTGTCAATGGAGCATCACACCACATACATGTCAAGTCAAATACAAGATGGATGTCATTGATTGATATCGGAATGTCCAACACCATAATGGACGGGTGGTGTATTCAGTTGGAAGTGGGCATGTCCACTTGGCCAATCTACTAGCTAAGAACTCTAGAGTGGAGGAGTGTACCGGTCGGTCTGTCTGTAAGTACTACCTGTCTACCTACCTATAAATACTGATCTGGTTCACATCATTAATAATCAAATCAAACTAACAATCAATAGTTTAAAACATTATATACTACCTCAATCAACAATATATACTATACTATAAAATGAAGCTTCAAGTGATTATCTTTGTACTGTTCTTGGTTGGACTGTCATCTGCCTTCTTCCCATGTGGTCCGAGCCAATGTGATAGGAACTGGACATGTTTCGTCAGTGGACCTCGCTGCTTCTGTAACCTTGGATACCTTGACCGTGTTGACTTTAACCAGACCACTGTCAACAGCTGGAAGCAAGAGGGCGTTGACTATGTACAAGTGGAGGCCACCGTTCAGAACGTTGGTCCATCCAATTTGGCCGATGTCCAGGTTGAGGCCACCGAATACCATGCCTATGGAAAGGATATCTGGGGTGTTGAGTGGAACACCAATGGTAACATGCATTTCCCATCCTACGTTAAGACCTTGACTCCAGGTGAGCACTACTCATTCGGTTACATTGCCAAGTCCAACGAGCCACTGCACCTCTACATCGTCAGCATCACTCTTCCATAAAGAGTGATCCCTACTATTAACTTGTAAACATGTTGTACAACAATCAATCAATCAATCAATAATTAATTGAATCCAACAATTCCCAATAAATAAATATTATTATCTTTTGTAATATCTCTTTATGTATAATACTTGTTGCCGGAGTGTGTCCACTTGTTTATTATTATTGTGGCGCTCAATGAGCTGCAATGTCATTCCAGTCTTGTATCGATTCCAATTGGGTGTGGACACCATATTCATATACACTATGTGAGGCCCTTGGATGCAGCGGATCACCTCTTTGGCACAAGCAAGGTTGTCGCCATACATCAATCCGTAGAGGTTCAATGATGATGAGCAATTATTGGAAGTGAGATAATCTGGCGCAGTTCCTTCGAGACACCAAAGCCCAAATGGACCATCAGGTCAATAGACAGACTCGACTCGCTGGAGTGTCACCACATGAGTGGAGTAGAAAGTATGGTCGAGATTATAACAGGGTGGTGCACTGGGGATGATGGCTATTCAAAACTGCTCGATCCATCCGATTCGTCAGATGACCCAAGGTCATTTGACTCAAAGTCATTGAAGTCCAGGCTCGGTTCCCCCACAGGTTTATGATGACAAAGGAACACCTTGTAAACTTGGTCATAATGACCTGCAACCTTTAGTCTTGTTCTCTTGATGTTGGACACTCGGATAGTAGGTGGAAGTGTTGCCAATGTTTGCTTCAAACTGTCAAGATCAACATTGTAACAATCTGGTATGACCATCATCGTCGTCATCCTGGTGCGTTCAAAAATGCCAACAACAAAGCGAGCAAGGCGTTTGAAATAACCGTTTGTGCCATCAAGGTGGAGAGTGTCGATGCCTGGACAGCTATTGATCACCTCACACACCTCATCCACTGTGGTCCATTGGGTCTCACCAATGTGCAGCACCAAATGATGAAGTCGGGGCATTTCTTGTAGCAACGTTATTGGCATGCTGCCGGTGTTGTCAGAGAGATACAATCTTGTGATCAAGTCTCGATGATGCTCCAACATCAACATTGAGTGATGGTGGACGTTTAGAAAGAGATCGATGTTTGAATTGAGACATCCTTCAAAGTCGTCATTGATTCTTCCTTCGATTGAGAGACAGATGCCGTCAGGAAGTTTAGCGACCACTCGCTCGTGGCAGTTGTGAATGTGGAGCTTCGTGAGTGATTGCACTGTGGACTCTGGCAGCGCTTGGGTCACAGGCATATTGAACATAAGTTCCTGGGGCTGAGATATCCTGAGCGTGGTCACAGCTGGGAACATGACAAGGTTGTTGTAGTCGGCTTGGAGTTGTAAACTCTGTTGACTTGCGGTGGAGATCGCATATTTGGTCAAAGCCGTGGCCTTCAATGTTCAGATTGCGCGGTGTCTGTAGAGGGCAGAGTGTGTTGCCAATGTGTTGATAGAGCTAGCTATAGTCTATATGCTTGATCCGATATATAGGACCAATAGAAATAGGAGAGGGTGCGGGCACATAGATATTTCTTGGTCTCAAGAAGATCTCGGTGTAGAGACAAGTGGAGACATATTTAAGCATGTGTTTCGATACTTGTGCCAGCGATAGTATCCAAGCATAGCTCGTCTTTTGTGAACTCAACAGATGAGAGTTGGACTCTATCGATACAATGTATTGGATTATAGTCCACGGCAATGACATGTGATTATCCACTTCCATCTTTTATCTGTATAGTTTAGTTTTTTGAAGAATGGTCATCATTGAAAACAAGATGATCAAATTATAAATCACATCAACAATTAATTAAAAAAATAATAAAAAAAGAGTCTTAATTTTTCGTCAGATTATTCAATTCATTCTGACTTTACTTAATACATATACATATACATATACATTAATATGGTATATGGATTGATTGTTCATGCACTGCCAAGTGTTGCAGGAGCAGCAACAACGACATCTGACAACTCTGCATATGTATATTGCTCTCAGTATTACTCATCAGAGGGTAACAATGACTTGATGGCTCAGCGTCAGACTGCGATCGTACAGCGTGTTATAAGCGATCATCAGTTCAAGTACGTCTGCGACAATACAAAGCCAGACGAGAAGCTCTACCCAGACTGGGCCGTGGCGCACATTCAACGTGTGAAGGAACAGAATGCAATACTTCAGTCGACGATGACACCGTCGTCAACTTCGTCATCGTCACAGGCCGCTCGAACAAGTGACAGTGGCTCAAGAGAAGGTGTCTTTAGAATAGTGCCACCAAAGTTCCAGACAACACCCAACATCACACCACAGAACGATCCAATAGCGCCCGTTGCGCACTACTTTGCCACAAGCAAGTATGTCATTTGGAAACAGATGCTAGGGTATGTATATACTTTGACACTACTGATGGATGTTGAAGGTTGCTGACTCGATGACACACACTGTCGATTAGTGCATGCTTCACAATCATATGTGAGGAAGATGAGAACAGACTGCTGGTTGCCAACTTCTTGGCAATGTTCAATAATATCTTATTGGATCACTTTAAGAACATCATTTCAAAGTCACCTGTACAAGAAGTAAGTATAACTCTTGTATACGAGCAGTCTATGATATATGTGTGTGCTGACTTTACATGTAACACAGATATACTCAAAGAGTGAAGAGATACTTTTGTTACTGCATCACTATCTACCCAATGGTCAACTACTGTTTACATCCAATCAATACGCCAAACACACCAAGGCTACCATTCCTCAACAGCAATGATGATCAATGTGCAGCAACTCTGTGTTTTGCAACAAAACCAAACAAGTGGCAATGCCAAACAATTGCCGAACCATCACGCGGAGAAAGGACCTAGGTCCTCATTCATGATATGCTTGCTCGTGCAAAAAGAACCAAGACTGGTCCTGTCAATTTAAACATCCAGAACACCTACATCCAACTTACAACATAACAACCAATCTACTGTTGTTACAATGAATAATCCTGGCGCCACAAGGAACAACAACACAAAAAGCCAGCCTCCAAGTTATGGGACCTTATCGATGAGGTCCATCAACATACAAATAATAAATAATGTACATATAACTCTGTTCTACACACAGTTGTGAATTGCCTCATCACGTTCACAGAAGGACTTCCAAGCTTTTGGTTGGGTTTGGAAGACTTTACATTTTTTTTTGACATTAATGTCACTCCTGATTTAACCCTCAAGGCGCGAACTTTTGCATGATTGTTTTGAGCACTAAATTTAATATAAATAATAGTTTTTAATTTGTATTATTGTCCAGAAGTAATAAATGATTGGATTTAATAACGTTAGATGTTGTACTTGATGTTTATTATTTCTTTTGTTTTTTTACAACATTATATGAGGTGTATTCAATCTTGTCATTATCGAC